GCTCTTGGAAATATGAAGACAGGTGAAATGAAATTTCCTATGGCATTTCCTATACCACACATGGTAATTAGTTGTCCATGTTCAGCAGATACACACTATCCAACTTGTTTTGTTCCACGTGATGCTATAACATGGGGTGCTTGTACTACTGTCATTATGTTGGTTTCATCGAATTTATAAATTCTATCAGGAGTGAAATGATGTTTTTTTAATGCTTTTTCATAGTTATCAAAAAACTGATTTACATTGTGCTCATTAAAACTTGTTGAGCGAGACAAACTCGTATTTTCAGGTTTTCGAAGTGGAAGTTCTTGGTGGCGTTTCATGAAGCTTTTCAACCACTCTATACCAGCTTGTTTATTTTCCATCCATTTTCTTGGACATTTGCAAAGTTTCATTGCATAATGAAATGCTAATATATAAATGCTTTATATGTCAACCCATAGTTCATTTTAGAGCTTTTTATTAGATAGTCTTTCAACATTATTTCCTCATCTTCATTAAATACTTGTGCGACACTGTCGCACAAGTATTTAATGAAGCTGTGCCGACAGTATATTTACTTGTCAAACTGTCGCCGACAGTATATTTACTTGTCAAACCTAACTTGGTAATGAATTTTTATACTTCTTTATTCTGTAATGTAAAGTATTACGTTTTATATTATAGGTTTTAGCTGCTTTGTTTGGCTTCATTAATCCATTTGCAACTTGGAGAACAGCATTATTGACATCTTCCTTTATTACTTCAGTCACTCTCTTTTTTTTATAATTTTGAACCATTTTTATCATTGAATAAGCTTAACTCAGTTCGTAAATAATGAAACAATAAAGTGCGGGAAGTTGAAAGAATGAATTACAATGGTTCAAAGGTGCCCCGTTCATTTTTTTTTAAACTGTCCCAATGGCGTCTTAGAGAGTAATTGCCTATTTTTGGAAACAAAATATTTTATTTAATGAAATTTTTTGCATCATTGGATAGAGAATAAAATAATCTATATAATAAATAACATAAAGTTCAACATTTGTTAAAAATGTGGTCAGAAAACTCTTACAACTTTTTATCAAAATGTTTCAAATTTGTACTAAAAAACAAAAATATCGTCTAGTTTGTCCACTTTTAATTAAATGGCAACATATTCAAGTGACAGATGTGAGGATAAGTATTGTCATGTTAAAATAATTCTATATATCAAACTTAAATACACGCGCTCTTCACAAATGCATTAATTCAAAGCTGCCCCCGTTCAAAGTTGCCCCCTTCTCCCCTACAACAATTTACTAAAATGTTTAAGAAAAGAAAAAAAAAAAAAAAAAAAAAAAACGATTAAAATTGATTAATTATGTTTTAACTTTTCAGCAAGATAATTTTGAAGGTATACCACCTAAAAAATTATCTAATTTTTTTTTTTCTAAGATTTAAAAATTTGTCAAGATTTTTGTCAATTTAAATATTTTTTTTTTATATTTTTATTTTTTTTATTTTGCCGTTTAATATTACAATAACTAAATATATTTTACAATTTTCACATTAGTAACGACAGGACTTCTAAAAGATCATGAGGATCTTGTCATGAATCCCTATACAATATATGGCTAATTTTTAATAAAAATACAATGTCTGTAGTGAAATAATAATACACCTTTATGCCAAAATATTTAAAAACCAAGATAAAATGTTAAAAAGTCAAGATAAAATGTTAAAAAGCCAAGATAAAAAGTTAAATCGAATAACTAAATAATAAATAAATAATAAAAAAATATTTTTATATTTTTTATTTCAGTATAAAAATAAACTGTCTGGAGGTAATAGATAAATTGTCACTTAAATATTTACAAAAATATTTTTTCATACGACTACTTTTTTTGTAAAGAAATAAGACGATCAAAAAGTTACGTCTTTGTTCAAAAATTACATCTATGGTACTTTGAGATATTAGAAAGGTTGCGCATGGACAAATCTTTACAATTCTACAGTGAATGATAAAATCATCAAGTATGAAAGCTGCAAAATGTACTGCTTATAAGCCTAAGTAACAATTTGGTGTCTCGTTGGGACAAAGAGTGTTAAGACTTTATGAAGCACCAAAAAGACCAGGGAAGAAAGGTAGCCAACCGTCTAGGCTACGCAAATAAAGTACGTCATATTTTTGTAAAAATAATCACACTCACGTACGAAAAAATTATAAACAATGTCGTCACATAGTAACCTTCACTAGTAAATTTTTAAAAATATTTATGCTATTTTTTATAATCAATCAATCAATCAATCAATAGATTTTCTGAAATATTTGGTATTACATTTAATAATATTTGATCGTTATGATATATACAGTGGGGTGCAAAAAAAAGCCGCATTAAAAAATTTTCTTTATTTTAAGTATAAATTATACAAGAATAATAAAACAAAAACAAAAAAATTGGATGTGGCAGTGAAAAATCTAGGACAGAAAATGTATGTTTTTATATATACTAATATAAATAAAATCTTTAAAAAAAATGTATTATTATAGACATAATTAATAATTTAGAAAACAACTTTTGGATATAGAAATTAAAAGAATTATCTAAGCTGTTGACCAAAGAGACTCTCAAAAGCAATGGAAAGCGTTTTAAACAATAAAACTTTACTATTAGTAGATTAGTGAAGAAATTTAAAAACACTGGCAAAACTGAAAGTCTGTTGTTTCTGGGACAAAGCCTTAAACTTTAAAAAAGGAAGAATGCTACATACCTAACACCATCAAAAAAGATTCTAAAATCACATGTTCTGAGATAAAAGTAGATTTGAACCTTTCTAATATCTCAAAGCAGACTATATCTTGTCCAATTAAAGCATCAGGTGAGTTTTTACTGGAAAACAAATAAATAGCCTTAGTTAGTAAAATCAATTTCGAAAAAAAAAGGAAAAAAAAAAAGTGGTGCTTTGAGCACAAAGATTGGATATGTGAACAATGGACTAAAGTTATTTTGTGCGATGAGTCTCCTTTCGTTTTGTTTTATAACAGTCCATCTCACTGTTGGAAATTAATTAGGGAAAAGTTCAAACCCAAACATGCAAATTATTAAATAAGACAAAAGATTAATATTTAAACAAAAGATTAATATTTGAGGTTGTTTTAGTGCACAATAGTTGCAAATTTTTTCTGGGTTGAAAAACTTTTCATGGACCAGTATTTGTGTCACATAATCTTAGCTATTTATCTTGAACCAAGTATAGAAGAACTTTTTTCTAATAGCGGCTACATCTTTCAACAAGATAACAATCCCAAACATACGTCACAGTTGAGTAAAAGACATCTAGAATCTAAATTGATACCAGTTATGTTTAGGCCAGCACAGTCTCCTGATTTAAATGCGATAGAAAACTTTTGTTTTCTATTGGATAGAAAATTGCAAAATTTTTAGGGTAACAATTAAAGATGAACTGTTCCAAATTCTTATTGCTGTTTGGAATGTTTTGCCAAATGACTTATTAAAACTGACTTGTAGATAGTATGTTTGCTCATATATTTAGCAAAAAATAGTTGACATGTAATTATAAAAATGGCCATGTTACTAATGAAGACTTTGAAATCAATAAAAAAGAACAATTTATATACAGGGCTGAAGGCAAGTACAATGGATGATTTTCACCCAGACACTAAGGCTTGGAAGGCGCCAAATTTTCATTGAATTCTTATTATTTTTCTAAGAATATAAAATTATATAAATTTATTAAAATAATTTTATAAAAGTTTCAATACTTATTTTATGTAAGAATAAATATATGTTAATTTCTAATAAAAAAAATAATTCAAAAAACTTTTTTTAAATTTTCTTAAATTTATTTAGTGTACAATTTTAAAAATGTTTTAATCAAACACAAATCATGCATATGCATTTTTCCGCTAACCAATCATTGACATTGTTTAGAAGTATTGTTTTTAAAAGTATTTTTCCAAGATAATTTATAACCTTTTTTCAAAAAAATTTTTTAAGGTGCCAAAATTGCTTTTTAACCCACTTTCTATATATATATGTCTATCGCTGGGCCTATATATATATATATATATATATATATATATATATATATATATATATATATATATATATATATATATATATATATATATATATATATATATATATATATATATATATATATATATATATATATATATATATATATATGCATATATATATATATATATATATATATATATATATATATATATATATATATATATATATATATATATTGCGAAATATCTATTGCTGGGCCTATATATATATATATATATATATATATATATATATATATATATATATATATATATATATATATATATATATATATATATATATATATATATATATATATATATATATATATATATATATATATGTATATATGTATATATATATATATATGTATATATATATATATATATATATATATATATATATATATATATATATATATATGTACATATATATACATATATATATATATATATATATATATATATATATATATATATGCATATATATATATTGCAGAATGTCTATCGCTGGGCCTATATATATATATATATATATATAAATAGTATTGTGTAAGCAATCTGACGTAAGGTCTAATCTAAAGGTAAGCAATCTGACGTCATACTGAAATAGCCTGTTGCTGGGGGCTTCAGTACATACATCGACTGACAAATAGCCTGACTCGCACTGGAGTGCTGCTACATCGACTGAGGGTTTGGGATGGGGCAGCAATCATTTCATTCATCATTCTTTGTTTTTTTTTCTTCTTTTTCTAAAAAAGCCGTATGGGTTAAGGTAAGCAAAAAAAGTGAGCAAATGCTTATAAAAATACGTTTTAGTAAGTGTATATATATATATATATATATATACGTATATATATATATATATATATATATATATATATATATATATATATATATATATATATATATATATATATATATATATATATATTTATATATATGTGCATTATTTACCAGTTCTAAAGTATATATACTTCATAATCATTAACTAATAGATATTTTTCTTGAATAAAGTAAAAAATAAACATTAATATGATTGATTCACTTATTGAAGTTTTGCAGGCAAACAATCAACGACTTGAGGTAGAGTTTTTTAATATTTAAAATTTTACTTGTATGTTATTTCTTAAAAATAATTTATTAACTTTATGTAATAAATATGTATTATTTAATAGTGTTTTAATATGTGGTATTCTGTGTAAGTTATTACTGATACCGAAGTTAATAATGATAAAAATAAATGAGTAAAATGTTTATAGGGTAGATAAGTATTTAATGTACCTATGTGGTTTTTTTATCTTAAAATTCACGACTTTAAGATCAGAAAAAATAGACAATACTAACAATTTAATCAATACTTTTTTTTATTATCGTTGCTGCTTTTAGTCATCACTGTCTTCTACATAATCATTCACTAATTAGTCTATATATTAATTATTTTACGCATAAATTATTTACTTTAGTTACAGCATTTAGATTAGGATTTAGCTTTCCCACTATTAATTATTAAACAAACACTTTTTTCGATTTAAAAAATAGTATTAAAACAAAAATGTATATACTTTTAAAAAGATTTTTCAGGATGTTTTTGTTCACCTAGGGCTTTGAATTAGCAAATTCTGTCAGTCTCAATGTTATTTCTTATTTGTTATTAATGATAAATTTAAAAATATGAGTATGTAAGTGAGAGTGAGGTGTTAAAAATTATTCTTTATCATTTAAAAACACTTAATTCTAAATAGGAGTTAATAGCACAACAGCACAAAACAAATATTTTTTGTAAATATTTGAAAAAAAAATGTACAGATTATTTTATAAAAAAACATACAGACCATTTAGAATTTTTGTAATATATTGTATACGACATATGAAATATCATATAAAATTAACATAACTTCAAAGATACATAACAAAAAAAATTATATGATGCTAAATATAATAGATTTAATATTAAATATCAAAAATATATGATAATAAAATTAAAAGAAACATTATCAAAAGTAATTTCTTCTTTTTTTTTAATTAGGGCCTTTACAACAAATATTTTAAATTCAAAGAAAAGCAGATAAAAAAAGAAACTGTTTTAAAAGAGAAACTAACAAACGAACAAAAAAGTTATAAGGAGTTAGAGTTGAAATTTGAAAGCTACAAAAAGGAAGTTTCTTTAAATAAATTTCCTTTAGTTTCTATTGAAGCAGATATACACAATATCATTAAGGATGAAAAATTAGCTTTAATTAGGGTGCTTCAAAGTCTCGAAGACCAGGTATATTTTTAATAAGATTTGTATTTTCTAATGAAGTTTTGTTATCCTATAAGATAACATTGCTGTAAATATATTTTATGTTGTAGCACACGAAATATCTAATTCACTTTTGTTTCTTATTAGTCAAGTCAAGTGAAAGATGTTCTTTTAAATACTATCAAGTCAATTCAATTTATGGAAGAAAAATGTTCTGTGTGTGTCAACACTAGACAAGTCTCTTTGAAAGGAATTTTTGATTCAGAAACACTATCTGAAAATTTAAATACTGATATTTTTAAGCAAAAAAAAATTGATGATAATAACATAAAAAATCAATTCTTTACCACAGAAGCATTAAACAAAGAAAATATTGATAAGTTAAGAGTTGAAATAGAGGAGTTAAACATTAAAATCATGAATCTGGAACTCCTTAAAAATACAGAAACAACAAGATCTTTTACTGCTTTAGATGATGAAAATGCTCGGCTTAAAGAACAGAATGAAGCTTACATTAGAAAACTAGACGTGATGACAGCGCTGCATCTGCAGGTTGCAGATTTTAATTTATTTTGTGTTTGTATTTTATTTTGATTATCATGTTTTATTTAAAACTTTATTTGTTTGGGAAAATTTGTAAATAAAAAAATCTATTTATCTGTATACAGGAAATAGATCAAATTAATTACGCGATGCAAGAAAAAAATAACTTAATATGTAGTCTTAATTTAAATATTGAGAACTTAAATGCCACAATACAAAAAATGAATGTTGATCTTGGTTCGATACCTACTTTTAACCTACAGGTTGTTATTTATTTACTTTTTTTATGTCTTTATTTAATTTTACTCTTGATAAAGAAATGCTTTGGTGTGAAGTGTTTTTGATTAGAAATATAGGTTTTCAGTTAATCCGCCACTTTCAATCAGTTAGATTATATTGTATTTTATACTTATGAATGTACTTTCTCATTTTTTACTATTATCTTCATAATAGAAGTAATTGTAATTATTTTGATGTTACTCTAGATTTTTTAATTAGTGTCATTTTATTGTTGTTTAGATAAATACTTATGAGAATACTATTAAGGCTGAACGAGCGACTCTTGAAAAATTAAAAGAAGAAATGTTTAATGTTAATCATTGTCTTGAGGAGTGTAATACTGAAAACTTTATATTAAAAAAAGAAATTTCCAATTTAAAACAAAATTCATTATCCGATATACAACAATTTTGTAATACTCCTTCAACAATGTGTGAATTTGATGATTTTGATATGAGCTCATTTAAGGACCGACCTGAACAATCGAAGTTTTAAGTTTATAAGTAGTTTATTCCCTGTAAATACAAGGTGTGCTTAACATGTCTAAAAAAATGTTTAACACGTTTTAATACGTGTTAAACATTTTTAGACGTTACGAACACGTCTTATGTTTACTTGGTTGTTTAAATATCAACGCTGGTTTGGTATCAAATATAACGTTATTATTTTTAGTGCAAGATTTATTATAGTATTTTATATTTTGAGAATACTTTACTACTTTTCTTTAAGAAATTGTGTAGTTATTGTTTTTTTATGCTTTTCTGATACTTAACATTTACAGTAGCTCTACACATTTTTATGTAATTAGGCATATAAAATGTGTACTAGTTTTGAAGATATTACAGTATCTGTAGGTCTGCAATGATACAGACCTACAGATACTGCAAAATATGAAGTTTTTTGAATTGAACAAGGTTCTTCATAATCTAACCTTATTAGGAAAATAAATGGGGCCTTAATACTACCAATTTTTTTTTTTAAAGAAAAAGTATTTTTATCTGGCTCTACAAAAGAAGTGCAGTTAAATAATAATTTCAAAATTAATATTCGTTTTAATAGAAAAATGTTTTAAGATTTTATTGCAAAAAAAAATATATTTTTTAAATCTAAAAAATGTAAGTTCGAAAAAAATTTTAAATGTTTGGCTTCACTTGAAAAAAATTTTTTTTTTTTTCAAACAACTATTATGTCAAAAAAAATTTCATTTTTATAATAAGTTGATTACTAAAAGCTATCAGCAATAAATTTTTAATTAGTTATTTAGGTGCTTTAAAAAATCCCAACGGTCTTCTCACAGAGCACTGTGGAATAGCAATTAACGAGGAAGTTCACGCCTCCTTTCGTAAGAATTATGCATATATGATCAGAACCGACTTCGAACCACGCACTATGGTTCGAAGCCTAACTCTAACCAATCCACCACAGCTGCTAATTTTTATTCATTAAAAGCTGTTTTTTTAATGATATACTTACGTTTTTTAATGATGACACTTCTATTTGGATTGATTATGTACGTGTTATCTAAAGTGCGGTATTACCACTACATATGTAAAATAGTTTTGTCTTTACAATGTCAAAATTGGTTGTCTTTTGACATTGTAAAGACAAATGGTATCTTTTAAACTCAAGTCAGAGTGGTATCAAATTGCTGATCGAGAAGCAATTGGCTTAATGTCAGGCCCGTCTTTACACGTGTCGAGCCTAGGCAACCGCTGCGGGGCCAGTGCATTTAGAGAGGTCAGCTAGAAACCAAATTTTTTCTTATAAATTTTAATAATAAAAATGAAAGTGCAATGGCGCATTTTTTAATTATATAAAACGTTTTTTATTTACTAAAACAACCATAACTTCTGCATAAATAGTTTTTTTTTTTTTTTTTTTTTACACAAAAATAAATATATATATACACAAAAATAAATATATACATACACAAATATATATATATATATATATATATATATATATATATATATATATATATATATATATATATATATATATATATATATATATATATATATATATATATATATATGTATATATATACACAAAAATAAATATATAAATATATATATATATATATATATATATATATATATATATATATACACAAAAGTGTAATGTATCCAATATTATATGAGTACAAATACAAAAGGTTTTTGATGTAGTTTTTCTTTACTTGTTTTACATTTATAAACCTTTGGAATTTATAAATTTATAAGGTTTTTAAATTTAAAACAAGTTGAACAAAATTGCATTAAAAACCTTTTGTATTTGTATTTATTCATTTGGATATATTACACTGTAATATTGCTTAAAATATGTTTCTTTCATTTTATTATTTAACTATTTACTTAATTATTTATTTTATTATATTTCTTTCATTTTAATTCTTTGTTTTGTCGCAAATCTATTTGAGACAAAATAAAGAATTTTTTAAGAACTTTTTTTTATAAAAGTTAAATTTTTTTTTAATTTATGTTGGCGAAAGAAAATTTGTTTATTGTATTGTACACGCCTCAGATGAAACTATGTGAGAGGCCACAACCGTTATTTCACTGGCGGGCCAGGATGACCTAAAGACGGGTCTGCTTAAGGTGTCCGTTGAAAACACCCTCTGATTCTTTTACAGAACTCAATTTGGCAATTATTATTTTTAAAAAGTTAATTGCATTACAATCTTTGTCAAGTGCTTCCACAAACTTTTAAATGAGGTCTAATTTTATTTGTAACCAAATGGAGGGTTAAAATTTAATTTAGTTCATCAGTAAAATAATCTCACTTCGACCATATTTTATTTTTGAAATGGCTATGCCTTGCTCGTGAATCCCAAAAGCAAAAGGCACAACAAAATTTAGGGTATCCTGATTGTAATCCAATTAGTATTGCAACTACTTGCAGATCAGCACATATCACTGATGTTTACTATACTGTATAACATTGAGAACATCTTTCAGATTATTGTAGATTTACCCGATGATCATTAAATGTGCACGGATGGTAACTGAATGCTATATGTAACAATACAACTTTGAGACATCAATAAAAAGATGACGTTAAATTGAGTTGTGTTCTTGTTCAAAGAAGCCGTCAACCGTTAAACGGTTGACGGTTTCTTTACTTTAAACCAGTAAGTAAACCGTCAGTGTCATAGCAACAACAGAGTTCTTTCTAAATTTGAAACTTTGTGAATGTTTACTATAAAGTCTAACGCCTTTTTGAAACAAATTTTTCTCTTTTAGTTTTGATGTTAACATTTCGCTATGATCTTTAGTCAACTTCAGATCTCGTTTCAAATCACTTAACTCAAGTTGTGAAAACAATTTAAGGTCTGTCACTATTTAAAACCGATGCTAATGGAAAGAAGCCATTGCCATTAGTTACATTGCATAGGTCATTGTCATCTCTGTGCGTTTAGCGTCAGCGTGTATTTCTTCGAGCAAGAAATCAGGTTTGTTGGGCATTGAAGTATGTGTTTTTACCGAGTAAGTCCAACCAAATTTTATTTTGCCGACCAAGATCTAAAATAAAAAATAAAAAAAGTCCTCATTGTCTGACATTTCCGACTGCCGACTATAGATCCAATTTTGCCGACTCCAATATCCATTTTGCCGACTAACAATTTTCGTAGGGGGCTAGAAGTAAGGGGCGAGAAGCAGATTTAATATTTGGATATGTTATATTTCCAATTCTAATGGCAGTAAAAGAAAGATTAACGCAGCAAAAAAAACAATCATTGAAATGATTTATTTAGAAAACAACAATGAAATGATTTTTTTTTTTAATAAATCGTAAATACAAAAAGCCACTAAAAGGCAAAAAACACTGAGAAAACAAAATAATGCAATTTAAATAAAAACCACCCATTTAAAAGATAAAAGTAAGTGCGTTTCGTGAAAAAAATCAAATCAAACCCGAATGGTTTTTCTTTTACAACCAGAGAATTAACATTCCGGTGTATTCCATCAATTTCCAATTTGATTACCGTTTCACCCAGCGCATGCACAGCTCCTCCCAAAGTTGTGATAAGTTTTTGACTTTTTAAAAGAAGACCATGCGTGGATTTAGCATGAATTGCAGAAATGGAGCATCCAAAATCAATTAATGCTGTTCGGAGCATTCCATTTATTTTCACTTTTAATGATGGCAACGTCATTTCTGGGAGAATACTGGATACCATTATTTCCAAATTCTCCCTTTTCCTTTTAAACTTTGCAATCGTTTGAAGCAGTCTTTAGCTTGATGATCGTGTGAACAAGTCTTGCATTTTGCTTCGCAGTCCCGTGCAAAATGTCCAAGATTTCCCACAATTGAAACATGTAATTTTGTTCGTGTCGGACACACTAGATGTCCGCGGAAGTAACGATGTTGCCGCAATCATTACATTATCGGAAGTCGAGCTTCCTGGGATACTCGTTCAAAGGTAACAGCAATTTCCACAGCTTTTGCAAACGTTAGTTCTTCAGATTCCAGTAATAATCGTTTGATTGTTACACCATCGTTAAAACCCGTGATGAATTGGTCGCGCATTCGATCATCTCTTTCCGTGAATTTGCATCCTTCAGCAGCTCTTGCGATTCGTCGTGAAAATTCTGTCACACTTTTGTTACTTGTTTTTTTTATAGTTGCAAATTCAAAGCGTAGTGTTAACGATGACTTCGGTTTAAAAAGCTTCATGATATTTTCCTCGATGTCTTCGAGTCATCTTCTGGGTATGCAGACAAGTATAAATCTTCCAGTGCAGAATAAATCTGTGGTGGCAAACATGTTAATATTATTGTTTTCCTTTTGGATTCGGGTACGTCCATCACAGTTGTGTATGTTCGTAGTTGGCGGACAAACCGCTGATGGTTGCCATCGAATACCGGTGGCATAATTGTCGAAATAGCTTGCTGGCTCGTCGCGTCCATGAATTGAATAAACAAAACGTATTATTTTATAGCTTTCTTTTAGCCTAACTCATTCTATACAAAAATCGTCTCCCTATATATAAAATAACAAAAAGTCCCATGAGAATACTTTTAAAATTACAATTGAAATAATGTAGAAAAACATTGTAATAATATACCTTAAATATATTGTAATAATATACCCAAACCACCCTCAGTTAACTGTATTTCAAGAAAAACTTTTACAATTTGATATATTCTTCCAATTTTACAATGCAATCTTTCTGGCCTTAATTATTGCAAACTATATTATTATTTCCTCGTACTTTAGACTAGTGCTTATCTCATGCTCAATGCTCAGTAATGCTAGCTAATTGAGTTGCTCTTGTAACATGGTGGTTCTCAAATATGTTTCAATTAATTTCAGCTTGGAAAAAGATCTCTCCCCAGTAGCAACAGTTAATGGAAATGTCAGTAGAATTCGAAGTGCTATACAAACGTAAGGGTATAGCTCTTTCATAATTTTCTCGTATTATATTGAAGCACTTCAATTGGTGATGTCAAATCAAATAGTAGTAAGTTGATAATATTCAAAATTTCCGTGAAAAGTTCTTGACTGTCAATATCACTTCTTCCCTTTCTATCCATTCTGTTTTCAATTCTCCACAACTAGTCCTATACCCTTCTTTATTATCTTTTTTTTTTATTTTTTTTATTTTTTTAAATATTAGCAGTCTTAATATTAAATAGGAATACAAATGTTCCACAAAAATGATTCAGTTCAGTGAACTGTTCATCCAACCCATGTATGGCTACTTCTATTGACTCATTGAAAAAGTTAATCCGTAAATTTTCTATTGGTATAAATTGTGTTTATTTAACTGATAGAGAAATTGTTTTTTGGTCGTTCTCATTCGAGGTTGAAGTAGCTCAGTATCAATTTCACAGCTGCAATTTTCTGAGCGTCAAGTAAAAAACTATCAAAATTATTTCTAAAAGCACTGAGAGCTACTTTACAATTATTGATATACTGCATAGCTAATTGAATTTTTTCAGACTGTAAGCACTTGCTTGCAATAATATTCTGCAGTAGGAGTTTTTACCATTACACAGTCTTTATGATGAAGGCATATGATGATAATTCGTTTGTCAAAGATCTCAGCTCAGCAAAGGTAAAGAGATCACTTGTAGAGTCTTCTAATTCTTTTAGGGCCTTCAAAATTTTAGGTAAATGGTTTCTAACAGCTTTTAAACTTACTATTTGAGATTCCCAGCTCACTCCATTTCTTTATTGTAGCTCCAACACATTGCTCCATGATTGTCCATCTTTGTGGTGATGCTGAGAAAAATGCATACAAGTGTTGACGATATCTAATAAACAACTTTGTGGATACATTACATTTGCCTGCATCAGAAACAGTGAGATTTAATTAGTGGGCACCACATGGAGAGAAGAAAGACAAAAGGTTATGTTCCGGAATTCGTGTTTGCACTCGTTTGATGCAACCTTTCATGTTGCTTCTATTGTCATATCCTTGTTCTCTGCAGTCATCAATATTTATGCTGTTTTTAGTCAGAAAAGTAGTAAATAGTTTTGTAATTTGTTTACCTGTTTGATCTTCAGCTACCAGGAAATCCAAAATATATTTTTTAATTGTTGCGAAACTTTCTGAAGTTTCGACAAAACGTACCACTACAGTCATTTGCTCTTTATGGGCAAAGTCTGGAGTGCAATCCAATATGGGGACAAAATATTTTGCCACCTTTAGACAATAAATAATTTCAGTTTGTATTTTTCTCGACATAAGTATAATTAGCTCATTTTGAATCCTGTTGCTTAAATAATGATTTGGCAATTGATTGTTGGTTATTCGACGAACATGCTCCTGCATGATACTATCAAACTTTGCCAATAACTCCACTAGGATGAGAAAATTTCTATTCCCATAAACGAAAAGCTTTTCCTCACTGTCACGAAAAAACAAATTGTTTTTTTTTTTAAATATTGAATAATTCCCACAATTCTCTCAATTACTGATTGCCAGTATTGCTGTTCTTCTTGAAAGATAGTCTGATTCTGTTAATTGATTGTACTGTTTGCTTTCAAGCGACTTTCCAGCTCCTTTCATTTTATTCAGGAACTGTTGCGCTCTTGTGAAAAATCATGCTTACTTAACATGGAATAAATATTTTTCCAATCAGGAAAGCCACTGGTACTAAATTTTTGTTTATTGACACTAAACAACTTGCAGCAGAAACAGTATACAGCATCTGCTTTTTTTGAGTATAGGTCTACAAGCCATGATCTTGTTATGATTTGATCATTTGTCAGGAATCTATTGTCGTTTTAAGGACAAAAACCTTCGTTTTGCTTTGAAATTGGAAAAAAAACTCTTCTAGAAAGCATAATCCTTTACCGGTATTGGTACTGGTTAGGCCTTGGCGACCGGTGAAAACCGCAAACCTGTTTTTTTTTTTCTAAAAAAGCCGGTCGTTAACTTTACATTAACAAATAGGTAAATAGCTCGAAAGTTTCTTGTTTTGATCAGCTAAGGAGTAACGTGGAAAGCACAAATATATATAACTTTAAAAATCGCTTGGGTATTGCAATATTTTAATATACAAGTACCTAACTTAAAGTATTTTGTCAACTTTTGTTTAATTTTTTGGTATTGTTTTAATTGGAGATTTTGTATAATTATTTTATTTGAAATTGTTAAATAACAATTTCAAAAAAAATATTAAACAACAAAAATAAATTTTTTGACAAAAAATTTATTTTTGTAACTTTGACTTTTGTATTACTTTAAATATTATAAATTGTAGTTTTTAAATTATTTTTTTGTAAACAGTTATATGTATAATTTTCAGTCGAAAATATAGTAATAATTTGTTTAGTTAGTTAGAATATAGTATATTCAGTTATGAATAGTATAAACATAAAAAAAGGTTATTGACTTAAAAGAAAAGATGATACAAGGTCATTAGATTCGAGCTAAATTTATAATGAATTAAAAAAGATATTATCGTTACTGTAAATTGATAAAAAAATAATGTTTAGTAATTAATGAAAAAAAAATTTCATTTTAGCTTTGGTATAAAAAAATATAATAATAACAATAAAAGTAATAATAACAACATTAAATTTAAAAATCAGAAAAAATCCTAAAAAGTATGGCAAATGTTTCAAAAAGAAACACCAAAATTGCAAAATGCAACATATGCCATTCTGTTTTAAAGTGTGCTGATGGGAGTACATCAAATTTAGCAAACCATTTTTGAGAAAAACATAATATTGATTTGAATAAAAATAAAGAGCTTTCTTCCACTCAGCACCAACACCGAAAAAAAGCAAAAACAAGTATGTTAAATTTCATAGAAACAACAATAATGGAAGAATTATTGGCTTAATGTGCAGCATAAGATTTCTATTCATGCTATTAGATATTCAAGTGCTATTGCAGAGTTTATTACAAAACCTAACTATGAAATGCCCAGGAGCAAAAAAAAAGATAAGTTTTTTAACTCTTTAAAAACAAGAATTTCAAAACGGCAAAACAAAGAATTAGTTACAATGTATTAATTCTTGGAAAGTGGAACTTTTTCAAAAATAGAGTTGGTAGAACATACTCGTCTAAGCCTTAACAATCTTTCAGCTAACATTGTCTTTGACAACAATGTTGCCAAAGTATTAATGGTTGCCAAAGGTTTTAGTGGCTGAAAGATTGTTTAGTGATTCAGATTTACAACCAACTATTAAATGCTTTGGCATTCCAAGTTACATCAACGGAAAGTGAGAGAGTTTTTTCAATCGCTGGTAATATTTGTACAAATTAATTTCTTCTATGAAATTTGATCTGGTGGATGCATAAATCTTCCTTAAATATTATTTTATTAAAAAACATGATTTTTAATGTTAAAAACCTGTGTATTTATTGTTGAAAAAAAAGATGGTTTTGCTAAATTTTGTCTTCTAAGGCTTTTTTTTGTTTTTTTTTTTGTTTACAGAACTAATTCCAATATATAAATTTAGTAGGTTAAAGTGAATTTATACATAAATCATAAAAATTCCCTTGTATAATAAAAAACCGGTGTAAAACCGGTTACCCAGTTTTACAATATAAAAAAACCGAAAACCGGTTTTTTGAAATTTTCCAGTTTTGCCAAGCCTGATTTAGTCCTGATAGAACTAATTGTTTTCGGAGATGAAACAAATCATCAGGCTAGTCTGCAGGATCTGAAAAAATCTCATGAAGCTCAACCTGAGCAGTTTTTATTGGTGTCAGTTCCTTTGATGTTTTTATTGATGCAGGTTCTGCCGAAGGGTTTTGCACAAAAATATTGTTCTCACCATTTTCATTAATTGCTGCTGCATCATCAACTGCCCATGTTAAAGATTTTTGAATCGGCAAAACTTGATTTTCGTGTTATGGTCGGGTGAAAAATGAACTAATTTTTGACAAAATTTCAATTTTTTTCTCATCCTCTTGCTTTTTCTTTTGCTTGCTAAATCCACTTGCATAATTTCGACTCATTCTCAAAGTCTACAGTTTTTAGCACAAGTTATCACATTACACAATTTTCGACATGTTCTGTATCATTGACTGTATCACGGACTTACTGAGAGCAATAAACGCCGCGCCAGTCTCTCCAATTTTTCCCAAGAGTGAGCAGTATTGATGTATCTTTTACAGTATTGAGCAATGCTGTGAGAGTTTAACTTGTAATTAAATAGGAATGATTATAAATATATTAAATTATTCCTTCGTATTTTTATAGTTTAAAAAATTTTGTTCAGATTTTTTGTTATCACATAATAGAATTCAAATTTGAGGTAAACTAATTTTATTGGTTTTTGTTTTGTTTTTATACTAAGACATGCATTACGAATGTTGTACAGTATTCACTGGTTGTAATCATTCACTGGTTCCAAACATGCTTTAGTTTGTGAAACCTTTAGGTTGAGACAGGCTAGTCAGATAGCGGTTTACTTTAGTAAATGTTAATACTAATTTACTAGTATAGTTAATAGCAGGGGTAGTTAACCTTTTCAAACCTACCACCCACTTTTTCACATTTTTTATTTTGCTTTAATTTTTCATATCCACCACTATCGAAATTCTATTCCACTTATTATCATATTTCAAAGAGTTCTTAAAATTTTGCAGCAGCCTCCTTAACATTTGCTGTAAATGGATTTTTCATCATACACTTTATGTTCAAAATATCTATAACTTGTTTTTTCATGTCAGATTTAAGTTCATTAAGGTTTTTACTGAATTTTTCAATATCCTCTGAAGTTACATCATCTTTTATAGATGATAATACAGGAAACTGATAAAATTCTCTGTTTAATAGATTATGAAGGAAAAGTTTAAGTTTGTTAATAAATAATACTTTAGGAATTTATAAGATTTTTTTTATTGCCTTAGAGTTGTAAATTAATATCATTAAGTCTCTTGAAAATATCTGCTAATTAATGGCATCCTTTTTGAAAATTATTAATTTTTGGCAGAAAGTTGTTTCATTGCTACTTTTGAAAGTTTGTATGATACCATTATTATTTATCAGTTGCAAAACATTCTATTATTTTTGACATTGGATTTGATTTGATTTACAAATATACTTAATTATGAATCAAGACTTTCACCTAAACTTTTTCCAACAAAATTTTATTTGTTCTCCACACTATGAACACATAAAACATTTGGTACTTCAGCCTTCAAAAAAACCGCAAACCCATGATAGCAAACTACCATTGCTGGTGCTCCATCGGTAGCGCAAGCAACAATATCATTCAAAATATTATTATTTTATTGTCTGCAATGTAGACTCATCCAATTGCACGGAAAACTAGCATTGTTTGAAAAAATTAATCAGTTTATTTACCTCTTCTTCAATTTTACGCTTTACTGTAATATCGCTTAATTTAACTTAAGCGTTCAGTTTTTATTGATGCATAACTGTAATGATAAATTGTTTTATTGAAACTGTTTTGTTTAAACACTTTGGCATATAAAATTTGCCGAATGGTTACACACGAGCATTGAACGCCTGAGGGAAGAAATGAAGTACATTAGAATAAAGGTGAACTTTTTTTTGAACAAAGCATATTTTGAAAGTTGTCAAGACAAAAATAAAGATTAATAGAGGAATATTAAAAAATAACTAAGACAGACTATGCACCTAAAACAGCATTTATACAACAATAATAATAAAAATAATAGTAATAATATATATATATATATATATATATATATATATATATATATATATATATATATATATATATATTGTTTAATAAACACTAATATGAACAAAGATATACAACAAATATATAACCAAACAAAAACTTATAAAAAAAAAATCGATTACAAAATAAAAAGTATGCTAACAACAATGGAAGGCGTCAGAATGGAAAAATAACATTAATGCTAATGTGTAAACATAATTTGTGTAGTGATTAAGAAATAAACATCTCCTCAGAGTCGCGCCTGTTATTACTGGCGTTTCGATGAGGATCAGCACTTATAACTAGTTTATCTCGTCAGACAAACGTCATCACTACTTATGGTTTACCCCGCGACTTACGCCGACTCCAATCTTCTGTAAAAAGGACTCACTACAAATAGCCAAACCCAACCATCTCCAAATTTCTAAAGCACCAATATTTTTTGAAAGGATATAATATTAAAAGTATAGACCTACTAAATAAACAAAAATAAAAGTCGCACAAAAACCACTAAAAATGTCACCCACATAATTTTAAACCTGTAGTGAAGGATATAAAAAAATTATCTGAATAATAATAAAAGATGAAAATTGTGCATGTGAAAATTAAAACTAAGCTGAGTAATAAATGCGAGATAATATAACGTAAAAATTTCTTGTTAGCAGTGATAATATGAAAATCAACAGATAAATAATATATTGATAAATATTGTAATAAGACAAACTAAATACTGTAATAAAGCTAAATAAATTTAAGCCAAATGAGTGGTTTAAAATTTTTTTTGGGTGATATGACAAAGGTATAGGTCGTGATATAAAAACGATGTACAAAGCAAGAAAAAATATTGTTAAGAAGTAAAGTTATCTCTAAGGTCCGAATTAAAAGTAACTTTGAGACCATATCTAAATTTCCAAAAATTAAAGTTTTCTCTACGGTCCGAATTTAACGTAATTTTGAGACCATAACAAAATAACAAGAAAAAAACATACATAAACAAAACATGTCGAAAGCCGCTAGTTTATAAGAATCGCTTTTCCATATATATGTATATATCAAAAAAATTCTTAAAAATAAAAAATTAGTTGTTGATGTAATGAAAAAAACTTCTTTAATCAATAATTCATTTGAAAACGAAATCACAATAATTTTTTTGAATATTGTCATTAGGGTTGTTGCAGATAAGTAAATTTCAAAAAATTTAGATCAAGTTTATAAGATGAGAAACAATAACTTGTTAAATTCATGAGGGATAATCTTAAAATATATTTTAAGATTATTAAAACTAATGCGTTGTTTTGAAAGTTATCCAGCGACAATTTATTGATACATTACTCATACGTTTATTTTTAAGTAAACTCAAAAAATTGAGAATGTTCTCAAAGAGTAAAGATATATCTTTACTCTTTGAAAACATTCTCGCCAGAATCATAAATACGCCAGCCTAATAGATGAAGAAGGGGTGCGAGGCTGGTCAACAGATATAATCTGTTTACCCCTTAAGTCTTTGCCTAGGAGGCCGTTTTATTGACAGTAGCCGGATGCATTTAACATCTCCCCGAGATGAATATTTTTATTAAGACACCTTCTCTTGCTTTAACTCAATCAAGAACCCAAAGGCAGGGGGTTTTTCAAGGCAGTCAGAATTTGCTTCTTCTAGCCTTTGTCTAAAAATGCGTATCCTCCAAGGCAGCAAGATATGAAGTAGGTTGTATTGGGTTACATGTTACTTGTACCAGGATAATTTGACCAGACAGACAAAAGTATATTATGATAGGTTTTAAAGTTTTAAAAATTATTTTATAAAAAAGTTAATTTAGATTTCATTGTTTAGAAAATGACATTTTTTAACTAAAATATAGGCATTTTCAGCGGACCACCGTGGTTTTGCTGATTGGTTACTTAGTGAACCATTGATGGTAGCCGCCAAAAGTGGCTAGCCATTGACATTATATGTCACTACTTGTCATAGCCACTATTTATGTCTGTAAGTTATTGGCTTGTCATTTACAACGGCTGCAATTAATGATCCACTAAGTAACCATTAGCGAACCGCTAAAAAATGCTTTTATAGAATCACTGATAATCCATTTTGACTGTTTTTTAGTAATCAATTAAAGTCTTTATATTTAAATTATCGGGTGGATACGGAAAAATCCGGTCAACTTTAAATTGAAATTTCTCGAAAACCATAAATGCTTTTTATTTAAATTTTTTTTATTATTAAATGTGTTAACATAAATTAGAGTTAACTTAATTTTAAAGGGGCTTGATAGGCTGTTTGGCAAGAGATCGAATTTTATAGTGGGTTGATGCCATCATTTCGCAGATTTTTTATTTTTTCACCTTATTGGTGACATTATTCCACTTTTTTTGGAAGTCCTTTTTATTATTTGTTACTCCACCTGTCTTACGAAGAACTCCTTTAACCTTTAAATATTTCCCAAAAGTCTTCAATTTTGCGCTCTTCAGGACGATTTGGAGGATTCGCATCTTTTTTTTCGAAATTTTTTAGAATAGTGAGAGACATCAAGATCTGGCCAAAAGAGACATTGGTATTTGTGTTTTTTCATAAATGGCAAAAGTCTTTTTTGGAGGCATTCTTTGATTAGCAGTCAAGGTCTTCTTAGTGACAAAACAAGAGGACTGCATACCATAGCTACAAATTGCTTGCCACACAAGGAACTTGGATGCAAGTTTTTCTCGTCAAATATATTTAAATTGAACATCGACAGGTTTATCTTTGTTCTCATAGTACAATTGTTAACCAGGAAGTTGTAGAAAATCCGCTTTGCAATATGTTTCGTCGTCTTTAATTATGCACATACTTTTATCAGCCATTATTTTAACCAACTTCTTTGCGCGTCGAATTCCTTTAATTCCACAATTTAAGCTTCTCTTAGGTATATTTTTTTTTATGAAATGCTTTAATTCCAGCATTTTTAAGTACTTTTTTGATATAAGAACAAGAAGTCTTGAACTTTCTTGCTAGATCTCGCTGTGACTGGTTTGGATTTCTTGCTATTGAACGTAAAATCGACTTTACCTTTTTGGATTTATTGAAAGTTTTTTTTCTTCCACTTCCAAGTTTTCTTTCGAAGCTTTGAGTAGTTTTGAACTTATTTATAATATCTATGACTGTAGATTTTGGGACATTTGTGCGTTTACCAATCAAGCGATATGAAGTCGATGGATTTTTGCAAAAAAATAGCACAACTTTTTTACGCACCTCAATTTGTTTCCGAAACATTTTGCAAATCATTAATTTGTGAACAAAAGTTTATCAAGACCATTAATAATTAGAGATGTACCGGATAATTTTGCCGGATATGCCGAAAATTGAACTTTTTTAAGTTCTATAAATGTTTATGAAGAAAAAACAAGTCTTGCCAGTCTACAATAAATAGTATTCAAGATCTTAATTTAAAAAATCAAGAGAAAAACTGTATGACATGAGATATGTGCTGACGAAGTATAGAAAATAGTAATTAAAAAAAAACAAAATTTGGCTGTAAAAACAATTTTTCCTTATACATTATCAACGCATAAACCTGTGTTATACCAGCTTTTTCTTGATTTGATTTTTTTAAATCTTGAACACCATTTAATGGCAAGATTTGTTTTTTTTTCATAAACATTTATAGAACTTTAAAAAAGTTCAATATCCGGCATATCCGGCAGAAATATCCGGTACACCTCTATTAATAATAAGGAATTCCGTGTCCACCCGATATTTGACTGTGTTTCATTAATCAATTGACCTTTTCCCATAAAGCATTGCATTAAGTTATTTGTATGCATGCGGAAGTAAACAACAAAAATAATTCGAGTAAAATGTCAAATATTGAAAGAACTGAGATTGTCCCAATAGACTTTTAAATTTTTTAGTTCAAATTTTAAAAACTATATTATTGGAGTAAAATTTGTACTATATAAGGCTTCAAAGAAAAGATAACAACAAGTGCACCAAACAATGTTTTTTAACTAAAAAACAAACAAACAAAAAAGAAGTCGGGATTTAACATGTTCGTACCTAAATGTTTTAGCAACTAAATAAAACATAAAAATTTTTTGTTTTATGCAGTTCCAACAAAGAAAATATTGAAGAATAAAAAAAATATTAAATTCTTATAATAATTTTTACATACTTTTGCATCCTTTCAAATATTTTTTTAATCATAAACTGAAAATAGAAAAAAAGAAAAAATCTCTTCATTTTTTTAAAGAACAAAGTTTGTTTCGTTCTTTTCTGTTACAGCTTTGATACCTTGACATTGGTAAAATTAACTGTTTGATTTCTATTGGTACAAGCTTTATGTACAAAGATTTTTTTTTAAAAAAGAGTACTTTACTTCAATTATTTTGCAGCTGTCTTAGTTAACACACAACTCATCAGGGCTAGAACCAGCAATGGCATTTAGGATTTATAACAAGATCACATTTTTTAGCATCACAGTTACTTTTACTTTAAACTTTTTGTGAGCAATATCTTCATTTTCAATATTCTACTAACAAGCTTGTGATTGTAAATTACTATCACAGTTTCTTATAAGCTTTTTTAACAACGAAGTTGGACGAGTATTATATCTATGGTTTATAACTGTACCAAAACTTGATGCAGTAAGTTTTTTATTTTGTTCTTTAATCCATTTTTGTTTTTGTATTGATTTTTAGTTTCTGATGTAATTATTTTCTTAAAATTGATTAACATTATGGCAAGCTTTAATTTTCCTCAGTCAAATTAGTTTTAATTAAATGGTCCAGACAGTGAAGAAATTTTTCCATTAAGGTGGTTATCAGGTAAAAAAATTATTTTTTGATTGCCAACTTAATCATATACCAAAGTTAGTTTAAAAGAAACATACTTATTAATATAATTAAAAATGATAAAAAAAAAATAATTTCCTTTTTTTTTTTGCTGAATCAGCATAAAATGCAAAAAAATCAATGAAAAAAGAAAACAACATTTTCTCAGCCTCTTTATGACATTATAAGCCAAAACTTACAACACTGATAGATTATAGTGTATTAAACAAAAGCTTACTAGAAAAACTAAAAATAATTATTATTTTTAAAATGGCAGCTTTTTCAATTTTAACGGAAATTATTGATACAAAAAAAAAAGGTAAAATATGAATATATTCAAATGGAAACAAGCTTAAGATTAGTTCTAGTAAGCTATTGCAGTTCTATCTATAAAGAAACAACCCTGAAAATTTGAACTCAATTGCATATCTGGTTAAAAAGATATGAATGATTCGCTTATTGCAGTCAGGCAAAAACAAACAATTGAGAAATCAAGCTTCAAAGTTTAAAAACAATTTATTAATTAAAAATTTCCTGTAATATAAGAGTCTACTCCCTCTTTTTCTTTCTCCTTATCAATATAACCCTTCCTGATACATCTCCTTTTCCTTCTAGCCCTTTTTTGCTTTGGAGTTGAATTTTTAATCGTGTTCTTTACTCTTGATACGTCCTTCTTCCACGATCCTTGGATCATAAAACTTCCAGGCAAGAGCTGCAAATAATCAAAAATTCTTGTGAAACCTCTCAAACCATCATTGTAATTTATTACAGCTGAAGTAACACCAAGATCTAGTACCTTTTTAGTAACAAAAATATTTTTTGGACACTTTTTCCAGATTATCTGGTTGAAAGCCTCATTTGGATTTTGTGTTGCGCCATCCAGGCATCTTGATAACAAATCATCTGACCGTAGTGCCAAGAATGTGTCTTTAAGAATACTTTTAATAGCAAGAGGCAAATTAATTGATGGTTTATAATTTTTGTCATTCTGCCAATACTTGCACCAGCTTTCCTTTGTACGTGGACAAAATTGATGTCTCTCTTCGCTGTTGCTTATATTCGAGCAATGCCACAATACAGCCAAAACAGATTTTTTCATATTGTACAAGGCTATAGTACGGTCTCCACTCCATGCTTCTAAGGTATTTTGCCTAATGCTCATGCCATAAAAATTTTGCATTTTATTAATGATCTTATCTGTCAACCTTCCTTTCCCTGATATAATTTTCCCATCTTCTAACTTTTTACCCTTTAAGTCACATCGCATTTGACGTAACCGGGTGCCTAGGCGTTTTTGGACATGACCGACGCACTCTATTTTTACTGGGACAAGATCTTCTCCATATGGCTTTGCCTTTACAACATTTGTATAAGATTCAGTATCTCCATCTCCTATATAATGAGAATAGCGAACATTGTACTTTGCCAATGATTCCGTAAAAAATGATAAAGCACCTGCTGATTCCATGGCACCTGATGATTTAAAGTGGTTAAGGTCGCAAACATGTGTCTTCAAAAACTTTCCATAACCGCTCTTATTTCTCTTACTTTGCCACAAAGCACAGCCACGACAAAACTTTGAAAATACTTGGTAATCGACAACTTTACGGTTAGCTTTTGCAACAGCAGTGCATACACCATTTAGAGATGAATGACCACGTTTCTGCCATGAACCGTCAATTCCAATTTGTATATCAACAATATCATTTTCAGCAGCATTTGGAAAATCTCTTTTTCTTATCTCTGTCACAGCATCCTTCATGCTATCACAAGAAGCAGCTTCATAAAATTTTAGTAGGTCAGAGTTTATTTCATTATACGAGAACAAACTCATTGGTGGGGGCATATTCAAAATAGATGCAAATATTTTCATTGCCTCGTGACCTTGCCCAATTTCTCTAAAGGCCATAACAGTTCTAACATTAATTTCTTGAGATTTTACTCCTCTGGTATCTCTATCAGGTATACTAAATGCTCGAGATGAATTAAAGAAGTACGTCCATTCACAAGTTGCACATTTAATACAAAATTGTATTGAAAATCCCTTGGCTTTTTCATCGAGATATTCAAGAGCAATATCCTTTGAATTGCATTCACCACAAGATCCAATGCTACAAATTAAATCTTTAAACATTGGGAAATGAAAAAAAAAGAAAAAGTCGTCGTGTTTTGTTAAAGGTTGATCAGCTTTATCTATGGAAATGTTCAACTTTGTTGAACTAGCACATGGCAATATATTTATTCCATCATTGTTTGTATCTTTGTCAGGCTGTTGCAAAAAAACCTCAACTGTTTTCTTAGTATATCTATTACCTTGAAAAACTCGTTTAACTTTTCTATTTTTAAAACTTTTATTCTTTGCCATAATAAAACTTTTTTTAACAACTTTAAACTTTTTTCTTTCTGCTTAACAAATAACATCAAAACATACGGCTTTGCTAAAAATAACTCTGGTTCAAAAGTTTAGTTAATTATACAGACCCATGAAAAGAAATAATTGTTTAAATCTAGGTCTTTGGGTAATATATCTATAAAAAATTATTGGTTGCTATGCGGTTGTTAAGTAAATTTTTTTTACTCTTACCAACTAAAACAATTTTTTTACATTTTTTTATTAATTAACCCATATCATGTTATATATGGTTAAAAAGCCAATTAAATTTTAAACAAAGTTGGCTGATAAACTAAAAAACACATTTTTTCACAAAAATCGCTATTTTTTTACCTGATAACCACCTTAAACTAGGCTTAAACTTTTCAACATTTTTTCATTTATTCGTTAGTAAATATTTAACAAAGTGATTTTGGTTTAAATAATTTCAATAACTAACACAGCGATTGTCATTTCTTGGTTTAATTCTATATAATATTTGGTTTAACTCTAATTTATTTTACATAGTTTTCTTTGAATAACTGATAACCAGCTATTTTATATTTAGCAGCTCTTCTTTCAAATTATAGTCTGATACTATATAAGTAAATATATGTTGATATGTTATCGGAAACAGAGATATAGTCTTTTGACCAATTACAACTTTAGAGATTATTTTGTTTTCGTCGCTGTTAAATTCCTTGTTTGTAATTATATAAAATGTTGCATTTATTGAAATGTTAAAGGCTTTTTAAAAAGCTAGATCCAGCAGGAATATTTATAGAGTTAATTATATATTCTTTTACTTATGTATACTTGTAAAATTTACTTAAAACAAGCTTCTCTAACGAAATTTAAATAAAAATTCTCCTGCGGAGAATAACTGCACAGAAAAAAAAAATCAAAAACAAATAAACAATATTTTTATTCAAAAAAATTTATTTTAATGATTGAAAATAACTTAAAAAAAATAAATAAAATTTAGACTCAAAATTATAGAAAATTATTCGTTATCTGTAAACAAAGTATTGGGATTTATTTGCCACTTTTTATAGCATTTCATACAGCATAAATATCCAATCATATTGGCCATCAATTTTCCACCGGCACGGCATCCATCGGTAGAAAGCTCTTGAGAAACTTGACACAAATCAAATGATTTTACGTAAGGAATATAGTTCGATATGCACGGTGAATTACACGGACAAAATTTAGCATTATTTAATTGGGTCGCAATAGATCGGGGTATTAAATCAGTACAAAACCCAACCCTAAAAACAAAAGATCAAAATCAGTACAAAATCCAACCCTAAAACAACGTCAAAAAAATAACAATAGAACGGCCTAAAACTTTGTTTATAATAGAATAAAAATTAAAAATGGTAATTACTAAACTAATTATATAATTATATTTAGGAGTAAATCAGGCTTGTAACAAAGAAATATGAATTACTCGACCTTCGATACCTGAAATTTGTCTTGGTCAATTAATTGAAAAATTAACAAAAGAAATAAAGCTGTTAGTTGTATAAAAACTTCACTAAACTGTCAAAACATTAAAAATAATCATAATTTAATGTTTTTTGAATAGACTTAACTTGAAACTGATTCAACTTGTTTCTTCACGCAGCGACCTTGTTCGTCAAGGTTCGTATTTCGGAGTTAAAGAGTTGAGAGAGGGTTGTAACTACAATAAAGTAGTCTCCTTGACTATAGTGGCCTTCTCGGCTTTAGGGAGACGAATAATAAAAAAACAAACAAAAAAAACAAACAGGTAATTTTATAGATTTTGAAAAAATGTTATTATTTGTTTAAACAAGTAGTTAAAATAAAAATTTTTCTTATACCTGTTTTTAATGATACATCTTGCAGCTAACTCAAATAAACTATGAATAGGTTCAAAAGGATTGTAAACTGAAGATGATGCGTTATAGGAATTACATAATGCATTGTCAAACTCAAAGTGAATCAATCTCAAACGTTGAAAAGTCCATGGAATTGTGTTTAAAAGATTTCCACTCATATACAGGTATTTTAAATTTTTTAACAAACCAAAATTACCTGGAAGATATTCTATTTCGTTTTTCGCTAAATTTAATGTTACAAGCTCATTTAAATCAGAAAGTCTACTTGGTAAATACTTTATTTTATTGCTGGAAATATCAAGAAACTTTAAACTTTTCGTAAAACTGATAGCAAGCAAACTCATTGGAAATTCTGTAAAAAGATTATTAGACAAACATATATAATTTAAACTTGTTAACATATCCATTGACACAGGTAGACTATTCAAACAGTTAGAACTGAGGTCTAGTCTTTTTAAATTTACTAATTTCAAAATTCTTATGTCAAATTTCTTTAAAAAGCAATTGTTAATTTCTAATTTTTCTAACAGAATAGGAAAGGAAGTTTTTATTGGATAAGATGACTTCTCATGAATTGATAAAGACGTCTTTGGCTTTTCAAGATCACAGTGTTTTGGTAGCAACACATTATCTAAATCAACTTGAGAAGATACATCTTTGTCATGTAAAGCAAGATGCAAGACTAATAAAAACTTTTTGAGATCAACAGCTGCACCCTAAAAAATGTTACTGTAATAACAAAATACTTTAAATTTATTTGATAACAGTTTACAATACTGAACAAAAAAAAAAAAAAAATTAAATTATAATTAGTTATAAATTAAAACGATTAAGATAAACAATTTAGATTTTAATTTAAAGTTTAATAACATTTTGTTCTTTATACATATTAAATTAAATCATTTTTTATAAAGATTAAAAAAAAACCTTTGATATAACAATGTCATGTGTTGGCTCCTTCATACTTATTGTGCACTTTCCTTCATCAATAAATCGTCGATGTACTTGTAAAATGTTGTTTTTTACCTGAATAATAGAAGCTAAAGTTTTCATGACAAACCTCTTTTATTCAAAATAAATATTTTTAATATATATCGACTAAATTTTTTTAATGTTTTTAGCTTTATATTCAAATATAAGATGAACTTCTATATTTTTTCAAAATTTATATGCAAAAAAAAAAAAAAAAAAAAAGTAACTAAGAAATGAAAATCTTATTCATCAATATTATTCACATACAAAGATCTCTTATATCATATCACAGAGCTTTTCTTTGGAACCAAATAGTTTTAAAAAAATCTGATTTTAAAGTTGGAACTTTCCTATTTTTAAAAATTAACTGAAAAAATTTATTTTCACAATAGATAATATATTTGAGTCAGGTATATTCAAATTGATCAAATACTAGATAGTTATATATCAGAAAGAGCATAGAAAGAGCTATAATACCACATTTTAATGGTGAAAAATTCAATGGTGAAAATTTAATGGTGAAAATTTAATGGTGAAAAATTTAACGATTCTACAAAAAGTTATGTTTTGAGTAACAAATTTTTTATATATGGGTTTGTTGAAGAAGCTGTAGTCAAAATTTATTTTTTATATACCTAAATTGTTATAACTTTTTCAATTTTTATCTGAATACATAAAACTTGATATCAAAAGAAAGGTGTAACATTAGGCTACAAATTTTTTTATATATGGGTTTGTTGAAGAAGCTGTAGTCAAAATTTATTTTTTATATACCTAAATTGTTATAACTTTTTCAATTTTTATCTGAATACATAAAACTTGATATCAAAAGAAAGGTGTAACATTAGGCTACAAATTTATACTGGCTTCTCAACACTGAGTGTATCTTGGGGAATAGAGAGGGTGCAGAAACCACCATCAACTGTAAAAAATGCATGTTTTTTTTCATAAAAAAGTATATTTTTACAAAAAAAATTGCATACAATAATACTAACATTTTATTCCAGACCTCAAATAAATATGAGAATATGAGAAAATATCATAGAGTTGCATGCGGATGTGGTGCTGATGGTTTAAGAAACCATTTTTTTTCAAAATTTTTAATTCTTATAAACAGATTGTTATTAAAATAAGAAAATTAATATACAATTTACAATAAATACAAGGAAACTTATATTTTCTAAGATTATAAATTTATTAGAGCATTATACATCATATAAGCGCATACAACCACCCCTCCCCCCAACTTAAAAAATAATGAGAAAAAAAAAAAGAAAATATTAATTATTTATGAAAAGTTGCAAAAATTATATTCCAGACCACAAACAAATATGAGAGGTGCATTTTGGAAATGGATTTCAGAGTAGGATGTGGTAATGGTAATAATTATCAAAATATTGATATAATGAAGAGCCAAAATACCTTGATATTAAATGTAATGTATATATATATATATATATATATACATATATATATATATATATATATATATATATATATATATATATATATATATATATATATATATATATATATATATATATCAAACTTGTTTAATTAACATATTTGACATATATAAATATATGTCAAATATGTAAGTGTATTTTGCAAAAAAAGAGTGCTCAATGTTCTTAAAAAACAAAGCAGTAATAAATTAATAAAAAAAATACTTACCTAACTTGAGATTCTATTGTCAGTTTCTCTTTCAGCAACTTCAATCCTTTTTTATCAACTTTACTGATGATCCAGCTGAAGTAAAAACTGGCAGTAGAAGCTAGATAAGTGTTTTTTTTTCTTTAATATATATACATACAGCTATTCACGAAAGTTTCAACGAGGGTGTAATTTTAAGAACAAATCTTTGGTTTTTCTTTAATAAATATGTAACGGAAATAGATATCAAAATAATTTTTCCCCATTCAGTAACTAGGTTTTGTGATCAAAAATAAATTAAAAAAGTAGGTTTCGACTCATAAGTGATCTCTTGGGAATATGATTAATAGATAGATGTGAGAAATTAATTGGTGTCATAAAAGTTTAAACGAGTTTATTAAAATTCAATTATTTGTTAAGTAATTAATTAATCCGTTGCAAAAATTGTTTTAAAACAAACATAAGTAGATTGAGTGGTTTTCAGTCAATAAAAATCATCACAACATTATTCAACAGCTTCATATTATACATTCAACGAAAATCAACTGAAATCATTGCAAATTTCAAACAATTTCAAATTGCGTGCAAATGGGGCGAAAACCAGTTTCAAGTGAGATCAAATGGCAAATTATTGGTATGTCTAAGTCAAAAATTTACAGCAACGTTTAAATAGGCAAAAAGTTGGGGTTTCTGAATCTTGCGTACAAAAAACAGTCAAAACCTGGAAGCTTACCAAGGACATCGTTGACATGCCGCATTCCGGGAGATCATCGAAGCTTAGTGACCGTGAAAAAAGTAGCATATTCAGAAGCTGCAGAATCCTAGGCACAGCTACAAAAAGCTAGCACATATCTTCAACGACTCAAAAAATAAACATAATGTAAGCAGAGAGCTCGTTAGGCGAACATTGCTGCAAAAAGGTATTGGAACGTACATTGCAGCAAGAAAACCTATTTTATCAATCATGGGCCGACGTAAACAGCGAATATGGTCAAAAGAAAGATTAAGCTGGACTGTTGAAGACTGGTTAAAAGTTATTTGGAGTGATGAAGCTAATTTTCAAGTTGTAAACCGCAAGGGTATATGTCAAAAGATTTGCAACGGAGAAATATTCAGAACGGTTATTGCAACCACGTCGACAAGAAGGTGGAGGTTCCATTGGTATTTGGGGATGTTTTTCTCACAAAGGTATCGGTATGTGTGAGCTGTACGAAGGCCGAATAAATCAGTACACCTACAAAAATACATTGGAAACATGTTTAATTCCATTAATCAGACAGTTGTATGGTAGAAGCAAGCAATTTATCTTTCAACAAGACGGGGCTCCAGCTTATACAGCTAAATCAATCAAAGAATATTTTTTGCAGAAAAAGATAAATGTGATCCCTTGGTGCCCTAGATCACCAGATCTCAACCCAATTGAAAATATTTGGTCTTGGATTGACAATCAACTTACTTATTACCAAATACAATCAACTGAGCACTTAAAGCAACTTTTGAATGAGTACTGGTTGAAGGTACCTCAAGAGATGTGCATGAAATTAGTTGAATCGATGCAGAAACGAGTTTACCTTTGCTATAAAAACAAAGGCGGACACTTTAAATATTAACTTGGCATTTTATTTCCATTTTTTATTTGTTTGTAAAATTTCGTTTAAACTTTTGTGTTACTCATTTTTCACATGTTTATGTTTGTAATTAACTTTTTTTAAATTTATATAAATCATTTCATAACAAGTTCACATTTATTCTAAACCAAATTACTTTTTATTTAACAAATAAAAAGTAATTTGGTAAAAATAAAAAGTAATTTGGTAACAAATAAAAGTGTTTGGTAACAAATAAAAGTGTTTGGTAACAAATAAAAAGTAATTTGGTAACAAATAAAAAGTAATTTGGTAACAAATAAAAAGTAATTTGGTAACAAATAAAAAGTAATTTGGTAAAATAAATTAAGTCGACATCATTTTTATTTCTTTTTTTATAAGGAAAAAAAATAAACCTACTTAATCAAAATTACACTCTCGTTTAAACTTTCGTGAATAGCTGTACATATCCATATCCGGTATATATATTTTTAAAATATTTGGTTATAGTATTAATGTATTGTGAAAAACGGTTCTTGGTGACAGTATTTTATAACCCTCCTCAAGTTCCTGGGATAATTGTTTACACATGCATTAATGAAAACTTGAGTAAGTGCAAGCATGTTTTAGAAAGTTGCCTAAATGCAAACCTACATAAACAAAAACAAGAATAAATGTGAGTCAGTGAAAGTGAAGAGCTATTGCAGAAACTTGTTGAAACTGTTGCAGAAACTCGTTGAAATTGTTGCAGAACTTGTTGAAAAGCAATCTTAGAACTTGTTGAAAAGCATATTGTTGTTAATAGAACATTTTCATAAAAACAATTAAAAAAAAAAATAAAAACTTTAATATTGATTCAATCTCTAAAAATAACCTGGTTTTTATGCCATTTAAATATATATATATATATATATATATATATATATATATATATATATATATATATATATATATATATATATATATATATATATATATATATATTACCATAATGCTTTTTTAGTGCAGAATTAAAAAAACAAGTTCTAATTCAGAATCCTATTTTGTTTATAATGTTGATATAAGAATGGAACATGCTTCAAAGTTAGGGTTAAAGTTATTTCAAACAACTGTTTTGAAATAACCTTAACCCTAAAAATACCCTAAAATAAAATATAATTTTATATAACTTTAAGATTGAATATCTCAAAACATATTTATGTAAAAATTTACTCAGTTTAATACTTAATGTTATACAACCCTCAGAATTAGGGTTGGCATTCGGCAATGGCGACCTAAAAGTGTTAAAGGTCTGCAAAAATTGCCAACCTTGCTTCTATGTTTTATGTCAGACCTTTGTATCAAATAACTTTTGATAAAAAAGATTAAGGTCGGCAATAATTTGCAAACCTCATTTTTCCTAATTCTGAGGGCTGGTTATATATATATAACATTGAATGGCGAAAAATCTGAAAATTACATAAAAAACATATAAAACCATACAGTTTAGTTTTGAAATTATTAATTTTTTGACTTTGATGTTATTTAAGCCCTAGAATTTTTTACAAATCTAGTTCTTCCACATTGATTTCAGCTGATTTCAAATTAATGCCAATCCACTATTTATCTTGATAGGCTACTGCTAACGAGTTATAACTAAAAAATAGTAATAAGATTTAGGGGGCATAACTCCATTGGTTCATGATATAAAAACTTAATTAAAAAAAGAAAAAAAAATGTTTTAGGTAGGCAATTTATTTGCATATTAATTTTTTTCAAATAAACTTTTGCGTCTAACACAGAGTTGTTAACAAGGCCAAAAATAGCAAGACAAATGCCAAAGCCAAGGCCAAATGTTCCAAGGCCAAGGCCAAGATCAAGGCCAAAAGTTCCGAGGTCAAGGCCAAGGCCAAGGCCATGAGTTTCAAGACCAAGGCCAAGGACAAGAGTTTTAAGGCCAAGGCCAAGGGTTTCAAGGCCAAGGCCAACACAAACATTTTCAAGACCAAAGACCTAAATTTTTGACCTTAAGTCAAGGCCAATTATTAATAAAACTACAGGTACCAAGTGCAGCAACAAAAAAACTACATGTTGTGAAATTAAACTAAGGCTATGCATAGAAATTGACAAAGTCAATAAAAAGATGTATATGATATGGAGATGTATATGAAAGACAAAAACAAAAAAACTAGACTAAACTAAAAAAATAGTTCTTAAACTTTTAACTCTTTAACTTTATGTACTTTTGTACTTATTTAAAATATGTTGATATTAGTTCCAGCATTAACTATAAGTCATAAGCATTAACTACCACTATTTAACTTATGAAATAGGCTGATATTAGTTGCTAGCATTAACTATAAATCATAAGCATTAACTATCACTATTTAACTTATAAGTCTTTATTACATTAAAGAAAAAGTATTATTTCAAGCAAGGAATCAGTCATGCAAGCTCTATGAGGGCGCATTATTAATCCACTCTGAGAGAATATACGCTCAACAGGGGCAGACGTTGCTGGGACACAAAAATACTTGTCAAACAAAGTTCTGATTTTTAAATATTGTTCCATTGCGTACAGTTTTTTCAACGGAAACTCTTTTTGATCAAAATTTAGCGAATTTATTTGTTCAAGATAGTTTGTCAGTTGCTGAGCGGGGTTGACAATGCTCATCTGTGTCTATAAAACATGATTTTTTCAATAATTAGAGAAAAGTTTTTTTTGGTAAAGGGCTCTTGAATCTGAGTTGTAGTTACAGTAGTTACAGTAGTAATACTAGATATTAATATGGCTTCTTGTGCTGTTTTTAAGTAAATTTTTGATAGTTCAGTGTAGAGAAGACCTGAAAATAAAATGTATGAATATTGAAAGTCTTTTATTCAATCATTTTTGTTTATAACCGCTTTTTACTAAGCACTACATTATTTTTTCAAAATCAACCACATCACCCCTCCCCTCTCCCTACACCTCCCAAAAAAAGTTCTACAAAAAATCAACTCACTGTTTATTTTATTTTTAACTTCTTCCTTTAGCTCATATGTGCCAGGATGATCTTCAAACCAATGATATGCATACATTGGCTCCATTGCACTGGCCATCATAAATAAGTTATCATCAAAGTTCAAATTATGAATTTTCGAATATGGTGTTTTTTTCATCTGGATGGTTTTAATTTTTAGAAATGAAAATATACTATGAAAACGGTTATGTAGTCCTTGTAACAGGGTTTTGATCATTAATGAGAAAAAAATGCTGTTTCTTAACATTTCCTCTAAAATTTTAGATAGTGACAGAACAACTGGAACAACACAACTGATAAGATACTACATTATCACCCTTTTCCCATTACAGACTCAAAGGCACGACGAAATGGAGAAATTTGTTGTAATAAATTTTGAAGTTTAGAACATTTTGTAAGAGTAAACTTAAAATTTGTTAGCGACTTTAATCCATCACAAACTACTAATTGCAGAGAATGAGCAAAGCAAGGTATTCCCTTTGCAGGTATATTTAGAGACTCATTTAGATCTATATTATCTTCAACTGGGTCTTCCCACAATGATGGATCAGCCTCATTATTCGAATGATCTCAACTCGTTTCTCCGCACAGCAGCCTTGTTCGTCAAGGTTCGTGTTTCGGAGTTATAGAGTTGAGAGAGGGTTATAACCACAAATAAGTAGCATCCTCATCTGTAGTGGCCTTCTCGGCCTTGAGGAGATGAATTAAAAAAAAAAAAAAATCTTCCCCATTATCAAACAAAACATTCATAGCCTTCTTCATGTTGGACGCATTGTCTATCACAATGTAATGCACTTTATTGGCTATTTTTTTTTCTGAAATTATTATCTCAAACTCATCTGCTATTTTTCTTCTAGTTTGTGATCCTTGGAAGAAAAGAAATGCAAGAAGATGAGACAGTGGTTTACCATTTATTAAAACATGGAAAGTGACTGAAAGAAATGCATGTGCTTTTCTATCGGTCCATATATCTGTTGCTAGTGAAAAATAAGACAATTTCACTAAAAACTGATGCAATTTTGTGAGTTTAACTTGTTGCATTTTTGGTAAAATTTCATGTACAATTGTTTGCTTGCATGGTGGTATAAACTTCGGATCAATCTCTTTCGAAACCTTTCGGAAATCCGTGTTTTCAGTTAATGAAATTGGCAAACTAAAATTTACAATGACATTGGTTGCAAATGATTAAGTAACTTTTGGCAAGGGTGCTGTTAACTGTAAGAAACATTTTGATCTTCTTTTTTTTGTTTAGCTAAAAAAGTTGTCATTAAAGGTTGATTTTTGGCGATCTGAATCTTCTTGTACTGTTCATATAATGACTCATGTTTGCAAGATAAATGTCTAAAATATAAACAAATGTGTAATATAAATATATCATCTTTTGATATATATAAAAAAAATTGAACTTAAGTCAAATAAAGAGAACTGTATAAATAATAACTATTGCAAGTTATCTAGATATACAAAGATGTCTTTTAATTTGTTTTTTTGAATAAACTTATCCATGATTCTATGAAATTGTGCAACAGCATTAGTGAGGCCAAAAGGAATTCTTTTAAATTGGAAAAGATGTCAATTGGAATCAAAAACAGTATAATACTTGTCACTTTCTAGGAGATGTATTTGGTGATAAGCACTTTTTAAATCAAATGTGCTAAATAATGAATATTTTGCAACAGAGTTAATTAATTCATTGATGTTAGACAAAGAATAAGCATCAAGTAGTGTAAAGCAATTTATTGTTTGTGAGTAATTAATGACTAAGTGTTTCTTATGCCTCTCATTCCTGGTAACAACTATTTGTTACTGGGTTCAATTATATCTAGTTCCAAAAGCTTTTTATTTTTTTGTTCAATGAATGCTTTGTCCTCTGAGTTATATCATCTAGTAGGTGAAGTAATTGGTCAACATTTTGGAGATAGAAAAGGGAAAAGAGTGATAGTTTTCATTGTAATAGAAATTTAGAGAACAGATTTTTAAAGAATCTTTTTCACCGCCATAATTGATATAAAGACTTTAACTGTAGGAAATCTCTACCAAGTATGATTTGTTTGCAAGAGTTGGTTATAACAATTATTGCAAAAATGTTGATTTTCATATAATAATAAATAGCATTACTGAGTCCTTTACTTTACATCTTCTTCCAATATCTTTCCTAACCTCTCATAGAAACCATATATACAATGCAATATAAAGTTAGCATCTGTTAAAATTGCCTCTCTTTACCATACTTGCTCTGATTTAGCTGAATGGCGGGTGTTGCAAAATTTAGCTTTATTTGATGGAACAAGTGATAAGCAAATGAAAGTATTTGTAGAAAAAAGAAAAAGTGCAAATTTATAATGATGGGACAGAGGTTGAAGCATAGCAGCTAGAGCAGGTTCAACAGCATTTGTAATGCGCTTTTAAAGGTAGAGAATGGAATCAGAAGTAAGAATTTTAACATTCTTACTTTTTCATTCTCTACCTTTAAAAACGCTTTACAAATGCTGTTGGACCTGCTCTAGCTGCTATGCTTCAACCTCTGTCCCATCATTATAAATTTGCACTTTTTTTTTTTTTTCAAACACTTTCATTTGCTTATCACTTGTTCCATCAAATAAAGCTCAGTTTCGCATCACCCGCCATTCAGCTAAGTCACATACTTTAACTGTTCCTTCATGTTAAAAAAACTTTTATTGATCTAGTTTTTTCTGCGCAGATCAATGATTTGAAATTCTCTTAATCCTTATGTTTTTCTGTCACTTACAATTTTCAGTTTATTAAGTCTTCTGTCAACTATATTCTTGCCTTTTAAATAATTTTCTTGCTTCTTTTTTGTTTGCCCATATTGCAGCCATTTTCTATGTGTATGATTTAGGTTGCTACAAATTGTTACTTCACTGCTATATATTCTATTGAATAGAATGTAGCTCAAAATACTTTCTACTAATATTCAAAATAGTCTTATATTTATATATTTATTAAATATAACAACTTTTAATGCTATTTGCACAATATTTTCAAGTGAATGTACTTACCAAGTACTTTGTTCCACTTTTATTCTTGGTTGTATGAAGTATAAAAAATATACTTGCATTAGATGACTTTCCTAAAGTAATAGTCGTGTGGCACTTTCTTGATTCAAGATGTGGAGCAAGTCTATTTACAATCACAACATCACACTTAATAAGCATATTCCTATTTTTACCTGAAAATAAAATATAAGAATATTTAGTATTCAAATAATTAAAACATCAATTATTAAATAAACATTATTACCAAGCCAATATTAAGATGTTGCTGTTATTTTTGTTGTTGTTGTTATTGCTGATGTAAACACTACTTTTTTGTGTTAATGTATAAAATGATTCTTAAAGTATTATTTGAGTTATTATTAAAAGCACTACTTTTAATATTATTACTTTTTTTTTATTATGTATTAGTGTAAGTTTTTTTTTATGTAATAAGTGTAAGTAGTCAGCCAAATAGTAACATTATAGTAAGTCTTAAACAATTAGGGAAATAACAAGTAACAGAGCATCAGCCATTACTCTCCAAAATTGAGGATAGTAGAATAGAAATTTACTTAAAAAACAAACCTGCAATGAAATATTTTATAAACTTCATTTTTTTATACAATATTGTAGACAAATTTTTTTGTACAACTCTATTATTATTATTTTATTATAACTTGTATGATTCATGGTGATTTATTTGTCATTAATGAAATAAAACTTTAACTTAGTGTATCTATTTAAAATAGAAAAATGCTAAAGAATAAATTAAGAAACTATTCAATTTATTGTTACAGACAATCTATTGTTACAGATAGTACCTAAAAAATGAAAAAAGGCTATTATATCTGTGGGCTACTATAGGCTAAAAGGCTATACAATATATATGATATATATAAAAGGCAATTACAATATATATGATATATATTAAAAGCTTATTAAGATTTCAGCCTTATTAGCATGCTTATCTATAAGAAGTTACTCATCTCATATACTTAACTATCTAAATACTTTGAAGTAAATAATCTATTAATTATTAATCTTATTAAAAACCAGTCTGGATTCAGGAAAAAAAGCTCAATTGAACCAGCTTTCTAGCTATCTCTTACTTGTCATGAACATTGACAGTGCATAATTTGTAGAGAATAATAATAAGCAGACCTTAATCTGCATAAAGGGAGGAAGCTACAAAGAAACACTGACCAAAACAACTTAGAAAAGCTCACTGAGTTAGACTTACCAACAAATTACAGTAGCTCACTGAGTGCTTAAGTCAAAATGGTGAAACTTATTACACATCTAAAAAAAACAAAAATGAAATTAATCAAACTTTTTCCTGACCTAAACAAAATACTCAATGGGAAAGATCGAACTTGAATTTTATGAAAAAGTCAAACACTTAGGTTTGGTAATGTATTATTTATTGAATTAAAATATACAGATAAAAAGAAGCTAGATATACTAATAAACAGGGTAAAACAAAGCAATTTTTCCAAAATAATAAATGCACTTCACTATCAGTTGTGTGCACCTTGCTAGACACAAATGAAGGAAATCTTAAATTCTTTAACTGCTAAAAATGTATTAGCAACCTTTTAAAATGCTTAGAAATATAGTTATGTTTAGAAATACTAATGGGTAAATACAATACTTTTGAATTTTCTAATATTTTTTTTATCAATGATCAATGATGAATAATCAATAAATGATCAATGTTTTTTTATATTATTTGAGCATTGAATGATTTGTAGAACACACAGAAGCCTGTGTGTTTGGTTTCAGGTGTAGACTTTAAATCAAGAAGTTTACCAACAATTTCCTTTAAAATGACAATGCTTTTATCTCAAACACACAGAAGCCTGTGTGTTTGGTTTCAGGTGTAGACTTTAAATCAAGAAGTTTACCAACAATTTCCTTTAAAATGACAATGCTTTTATCTTTAACCTTTAAAAAAATAAATTTCATAAACGAGACTCTTTTTATAAGATTTATGAGAATTTATTATCATCAAGAATATATTCTATTTGACCCATATAATAATGAGTAGATTTTTTTGCAGTAAATTTTACTGTAACAAAGTTCTTCAAGCCAATATTAAGCAAACCAGGAACCATACCTTTAATGGATCAACAACAGGTTTATTGAGCTTACCATGCAAAAATAAATTATAACATCAAGAGTCTTTTCAATTTTTCCTTTTCCAGTCTTTTCAGAAGTGTCTGTCATTATTCTAGACATGCTTCTTTTTTTACCTTGTTAGTTTATTTACCTCCTGTAGTTTTGGGATACGGACAAATTATTTTAGGAGTTGTAACATACCCATCACACTACACACATTGACTACATAGACAATCATAAATCCCATGATACTAAAAAATTACCATGCTACCCTCTGATGCACCATTTAAAAATTCCTTTTTAAAACTGAAAATTTAAGAAGTGGTGGTATTGTATTGTATTTGCTCTAAAAATGGAACAAAATTTGATCATTTCTTCTCATTCTGCAAATACAATACTTTGTGACGAAGCATTGTAGAAACATATATGAAGTAATACTCATCTTCTTATTAGTATCTTCTAATTTCGAGGAACCGTTGTATTTCTTAAGTCTGTTATATAAAGTCATAACAGGTATGTTTATGATTTTAGCACTATCATACTATCAAAAGATGAAAAAATTCTATCAGAGATAGTGACTATCTCTGTTAGACTTCTTATCTTTCATTACAATATTAATGCAACACTTAATTTATCCTCTGATAAGATGCATCCGTTTTTTTTTTCTAATGTACTTGCGTGCTATTTTTCAAAAATAGATTATTTAAATAACTACGGTTGTGTTTAAACAATATTTGAATTGCGGCGCATAGTGTTTAAATATAATAAATTAATAAAAATGAAGTTTAAAGATGGTCGATACTTTTTTCCAGTGAGCGAATACAGGTTTCGCGTTTTTTATAAAATCAAGACCCGATTTATTTAAATTTATTTAAACCGTTGTTTATATAAATAAAGATAGAAAAAAAGATATCTTTAGACAAATAAAAGACGTCTTTGTTATGACTTTTTATGCCTTTTTATAATCAGCCTAAATAAAGACGTGGAAAAGACGTCTTTTAAAAAAAGGTCTTCAAAAAAGAGGTCGAAAAGACGTCAATTGGTTGTACGCCTTTAATAAGACGTAGAAAAGACGTCTTTTATATCGATGACCTTTAAAAAAAAGAAATGAGAAAACTTTCATTTAAATGTTAAATTAAATAATACCCAGTATAAATTTTATTTTTAGGGAGGGGGAGGGGAAAATTCACTAACGTTTCCCACCGGGAAACAACTTAAGTTATTAATCAACAAATCATAATTTGCTTATTATAATTATAATAAACAAATTGTTATTTGCTTATTAACAACTTTCGTTGTTAATAAGGAAATCATTATTTGCTTAAGAAAATTGAAAATAATTATTGCCAATAGAACCTAACAAAGATGGGTTTTAACCCACAGTATATCTTTGTTATGTTCTGATTGGCCCGTTTTTTGTTTACAAAATACTTTTATAAAACTTTTTTTTATGTGAGACCTTTTTGCATAGGAAATTTAATTAAAAATCAACTATTTTTGGTAAGTGGGTTTATTTTATAATTTATGTAATAAAGTATTATATTATGTAAAATATACATAAAATATATGCTTTTATATATTATAGGCAGTGGTGTTCCTATTTATGGTGTCACCCGGGGCGGCAAATAGGGTGTCACCCATATATTATATGTAATTATTTTTATATACGAAATTGTTAAAGCAGTATTTAGAAACGTTGACACATGTAATTTTAAGCCTTGTTTTTGACGATAATAAGAAAGCTAAGCAATTATATTTTCTTAATAATCATAACTACATCTTTCAGCATTCAGCATTTCGTAGGTCGTGTAAATAAATACCCACTTATTTTTTTATGTAAGACTGTTTAATTATAAACCAAAATAAAATATAAGATATTAATAAATTGGGTGTCACCCAAAAGTGGATGACACCCGGGGCGGTGAACCCCGCCCCCCCTCCGTAGGTACGCCACTGATTATAGTATATATAGTTAGGTAAAAGTTCTTTAGGTAAAAAATGTTAATGAGAAGAAGCAAAATGTGGATGGCGTGGTGCCAGTAAGATGGTATCGATATGATCTAGTCTCAATTAAGTTAGTCGCAGGTAAGTGTTTTTTTTGAAAATTGAAATAATAGAACATTAAAATAACATAAAACAAAAACCAACATAAAAAAAGAAACAAAAAAAACATCAACAACAACAAAAAACAGCAAAAAATACAATGTCTTTCCGTAATACAATAAAGTTTTTAATTAAGAAATTATTACGTTATAAAAAATAAAAAATTAAGATAAAAAAGAAAAGACCGGGAAAGATTGCTAAACAATGTATGTCAGGAATTGAGAAGATGCAGTTTTGTTTGTCGTTTAAACGAGAACATGTTATATAAGTCTTTTATACTAGCAATTTTTCGTTTGATTCCATAATAATGAGTCATTATAGAAACTTTTCGAACTCAAAGTTTTGGCGAGTGTTTGACCGAAGATTATACTTTTAAGAAAATTTAAAGGAAGTAGTATCGGAAAAACCTTTAGAAGTAAGATATTTTTATACTTATGCATAAATATTAAAATCTGCAAAGTGCTTAATTTAACTAAATCTAGGACTTTCATTGTTTTTATTACATGGGTAGCATAATCTGATTTACTTTGTTTCTTTAAATGCATGATATTGTAAGCTTTGTAATTTTTTTAATTTTGTTTTGTGAGTGCGCCTAAACAATAGTATAAAAGATGACTATGAACAATCTAAAGTGCAGCATTTTTTGTGATTTAATATCGAGAAAAGATCTTGATTTATATAGCACTCCTATTGCAGAGGGTATTTTTGTTTCTATTAGACCTATATGATTTTTCCATGATAAATGTTCATCAGTTAAGTTCCTAAAAACTTAAGATAATATACTGAAAGTATTAATTTTTATTGATAACCAATTTTCGTAACTTTAATGGACGGTTAACAGCTTGTCTTGTGTCAAGTTTTTTCACAATACAGGGCCAGAAAAAGTAAAAGAAGTAGAGTAGGTTTTAAGGATTCTTTAGAAAAAACTGTTTTAGTTTTTTCTAAAGAATTTCTATTAGTTATTTAAATAATT